TTTGATTGGTCAAAGCTCTTCTAGTACTGTCTTTCCGGTACCATAGATATTTTCCCTTTTAAAATTCAAAAGAAAACACAAAATTCTAGATCAGGAAAAAATTATAATGCCTGAAAGCACTTTGACCAATATAACCTCACCTGTAAATTCTGATAAAGACCATTTAATAGCTTAACATGTTTATGACACCAATTGATTGGCCACAAGTTCTTTAGATATTATGTCTTTCCAATATCATAATTAAACCCAATTCTAAAATGAGATTAGCTTTAGTCAATGCAAAACCTGTTGGAACAGTCTTTAAAGCTTTGCACTGGGAATATCTTTCAAATAAAGTATATAAGTACAGAGATATTCCAAATGCAAGGCCATAAAAACTGTTAGGATGGGTCTTGCACTGACTGAAGGTTTGAGAAGCAATATGAGAAATTTGGAATAGACAACTGTATTTTAGAATATAATATCGACTAAGAACATCTTCATCTGCCTGTTGTGACTGTTAGGCTATTGTGGTGTGAAAGGAAGTTCTTATTTTCTGCTTCTCTCTCTTACCCTTTATCGAACCAAACAAAGCCTTACTACTGGCTAGGGAAGGGGAATTTCATGTAGTCAGAATCATATTCTTCTTTAATTATCTTTTTGCTCTAAAGTTCACGTTTTCCTTTTAATAAAGATAAAACCCATGAAACCAACATATGGAAAGAGTACTCTTCTTTTGAAACCCCCAACTAGCTAGATTCCAATCCACATTCAAGCATTGTCAATGAACACCGACAGTTTTGAAATGTTCTTGGTCTCGATTCAGACGCAAACCAACCTATGTAAGTGGAACAATAGAATCAAATAAGGCTTTCCCCTCCTAAGCCTTTGTTTGGAAAGAGTATAAATGCAAATATATAGAGTACAAAATCTTGTATTTTGTATTATATTGTATATATTTGCATTGTGCAATAATGTGCATATTTGTATTTGTACCTTTCAAATTGAGTCTAAGTGCAATTTTATTTGCATTAATACAAATGCATAAAAGTGCAAATAAAAAAAATGCAAGTTTTCATTTAATTTTGTTTTAGATTTGATTTTATTTTATTTTGCTGTCTTAATTTACTTTATCTATACTGCAATCAAACAAAACAAGCTAAAATTTAAAACAAAAATAAGTTAGAATTTACACATAAATCATTTGCACTGCCATAGTGTATCAGTGCAAATTTATTTGCATTGCAACGAAACACAACCTAAAAAAACAGGAAAAGGAAAAGAAAGAAAAAGAGTTTGTTTGTGCATGTGTGCCATATAAACTATGAAGGGGTTTGGAAGTTGGGTTTGCCTAAAGCATTTGATTTTAAAATGTGGAAATAATATCTTGGACTTAAAATGTAAATCATTTGATTTACATGATTTGTGAAGCCGTGAAGGGTTCGTTCATCTCTCAGGAGTGTTGTGAGTTGTGACTTAAGTTGTCAACAAAGAGGCTAACGTCCAGATAAGTCACCTGCAGTCTGTGCCTTGAATTTCAGGTAACATTAAGATGGGCAGAATATGAGTAGGTTTGCTTTCTCTCTTGGTTTACGAACAGCTCAAACATGAGTTGGACAATTTGACCGCCTTTGCTTGGTCTTGATCTGATGGTCTCCAACATTATAATACAATATGGCCTGGAGGCCCTGAAAAATTTTTTATTCCGATGGAATAGGGATTAATGCTTGTAAGATACATATAAAATTAAAAATCTTTATGGTTAGGTCTTGAAATCAGTGATTTTTCAAAAGTCACTATTTTTTTTGTTACTAGTAAACATGTGTGTGCATTTGCACATGATAATATCTCCAAGACAAAACTATTTATAATTCATGAATAGTTTTTGAACAATTATAAGTGGGCAGTTTCTTAACTGTTATAAGTGGGTAGTTTTTGAACAGTTATAAGTGGACAATTTCTTAACTGTTATAAGTGGGCAGTTTTTGGAGTAAGAGTACAGGATATATTTGCCCTTTTTTATGCTCATTGTATGCTGCTTAGTTAAGGGGTAAAAATGTCTAATGAAAAGTCCAGAAATTAGGACTATTCGTTCTTTTATTAGTAGTATAGATATAGATATATATTTAGTGTCATTTCCTCCAGGTCACCAGATGTTTTAGAAATCAATTTTGAGATTGTTTGATACTGATTTTCAACGGTGATTATTTTTCATTAAAGCACTAGAGCACCTTCTCGCCCCTATCACATAGGGTGTCACCTCACCCAACAAAATTTGGAATCACCTGAAAATCGGGAAATCACTAAATGTGGAAATTCCTCACACAAACCGGTTTTTTTTTTTGCTGATTTCCCATAAATCAGCATAATTAGCCAACCAAACAAGGAAAAAATCACTAATTCTACAATTTCTGATATGGATCCAAAGTGTGGCACTGATTTTTGGGAATCAGCGTCGATGGCACCTCAATTTTTCCTGTTGCTGCTGATGATGAAGTTCCAGTTAGGCTTTTGTCAAATTTTGAGTGAGTCCAAGGTGAAGGCTCAAATGTAAAATGAAAATTCTGGACGACCTGAGTTGCACCCTCTAGCACAAACTGCAAAGGGGCATGAAATAAAACAGGTCAAACTAAGGGTCTGTTTGGTTCTCAGGAATAAGGGTCTGGAATTGGAATAAGAATGGTCCATTCCAATTCTAACCGTTTGGTTGGGTGGAATCAAAGTCCTATCTCCCCATTCATGGTGGAATGAGATTCCTCCATTTAAGGGAATGGCTATGCTCTCCCCCTCTCTTGGGAATGAGAATTTATTCCAACTGATTCCGATTCCAATTCTCATCTGAACCAGACAGGCAGGGTATATGGACCATTCCAATTCTGATTGATTTTGATTCTGATTCCAAATCTAACTAACTGCAAACCAAACAGACCCTAAGATTTGAATATGCTCCATTCCCGTATTTTGTGACTTTTTTACAATACTTACTAATGACAACTTAAGATTTAATATGACCTTTAAATTGTTTATCTATTAATAAATTAGTTTTTAACCAGTATTATCTTATATTATCTACCAAATTTACCCTTTTAGATAAATTATAATAAAAATTACAATATAACTAAAAAACCTTTATATATTATGAATTGAACAATCGTTTTGGAATAAGCAAGAAATAGAACCAACCTAATTAATTATGAATAGGGACAAAACCACAGACCTTTGTATATCGTGATGTATCGGAGCAATAAGACTAATACGGATCGGCGGCATTTTCTTGCGCATGCGTTTATTTCCAAAATGTTGCGCCTTGCTTGATTTGAACACAAATCACCCTGCGTTAAAACCTTAAACACGGGCTTGATACATTAAGCCCATCCCCATCTTATGAAATTTTTTAAAATAAACTAATGTCTTTCTATTCTAGTGTCCACATGTAATGCAACAAATTTATATTTGTGTTTAACAATTTCAACAAAATAAAAAAATAATATTCAAAACTAATATTTTATAAACTAATTGAATAAATAATTTCTTAAATCCACATTTATATCAAAAATTTGTTTAATTTCGAGAAATTTATACGAAAAAATATTAATAATAGAATAATTATCTTAGTACTTAATATTTATAAATTTGAACATGACAGGTATCTTAAAATTTTATAAATTATTAATTAAAATTTTAATTTGAACTAAACAAAAGTATATATATTATTTATAAAATAAAAATATTATTTATAAAAACTTCGAGAATATAATATAAATTGAATTTATCAAATCCATTAATCTACATTTATATCAAAAAATGAATTTTTTTATCTCAAAATTTATGAAAATAAAAATATTTAATGGAATAATTATTTTAGCAATTAAAAATTATGAATTTGCATATGATGTGTATCTTAGAAAATTTAATATATTTGATATATTTTAAGTTAATATTATATATTATTATAAATCTTTAAATTATATTTTAATTACATTTTATAATAATGTGTTTATTGTTTACAAAAATAAAAACATTGTTAACTAAACATTTGAGAATTAATTTTCAGTTAATATTAAAAATTAAAAATAGTAAAATAGAAAATAATCGACATAATAATTCACATACAATATTTGCATATGTTTTGTGCCTTGAAATTTAATAGAAAATAACATAATAATAACTTTGTGCATGTATTAATTTTTAAAAATATATATATAATATTTTCCAGGATTTTTGAATGATACAATATCAATAAAATTTTATGATTTCTATGCATCCCACTATATTAATTGTAGTATATTTATTCACATATACTTTTAGAATATACATTTTCTATGTGCCTATACATTAATTATGGCTATTTTGATCTTAAAAATAATGTTATTAATATGTTTATGGAATTTATATGCATTTTTTGGTGTATTCATATTTTTCATCCATATCCATGCGTTTTCAAAATGTATCCATATCCGAGTGGTCCGATATTTATACTTTAATCCTTGATTATGACCCAACCCCACCCTGACCCTTTTTTCTTGACCCCAAATGGGTCATTTGACCCATATTAACTCACATAAGAGATGAATGGGTATGGGTGGATGAAATGGGTCAGGGTCAAAATTGTCTGCCTTAATTGGCTATAAACTTTTCTGATATCATATCTTTTTTTGGCATCATAGTCGAGTCTCTTTTGAGCATAACACGTTACCATGAGTGTGGGGTAAAAGAGTAATTATATCCATTTTCTATTTTTAAGGCATTGGCCTCAACGGTAAAACCATAAAAGCATGTTATCAAATATAAGGCATTGGGCTCATGACTAAAAGATGTGATCACAAAAATAAGGGATCAATACAAAAAGAAATATGGCATGAAAAAAATGAAAAACAGAGCAACTCATAGAGCATACAAAGATTTAACATGATTTGTCTTTGTTGCCTACATCCATGCGAGGAACATAAATCTGCTATATCAAACAATGGAGTACGAGAACAACCATTTTTTTTTTTTTGATAGCCCGAGGGAAAATTCATTCAAAGAAAACTATCAGTTACATCTGAGGAGAAAATATCTTTCAAGAAATTTGGACAAGAAGACCAAGTTTTAGGTGACGAGCAAGACAGTGCAAACCTAGCAAGTTTGTGGGCTACCTTGTTACCTGATCTAGGGGTGAACGTAACTGAATAGTCGGGAAGGCGGTCGAGAAGATTCTTGCAGGAAGATAAGAGCACACGAAGGCTCCAAGGAGGATTTGGGTTGATCTCCAACAGAGAATCAATAAGAATTTTTGCATCACCTTCAAAAATAATCAAATTGAGGTCCAGTTGCAAAGCAAGCTTGATACCTTCAAAGAGCGCAAAAGCTTCAGTGGTAGAAGCCGAATTGGCCTCAACAGGGATGGCCCTAGCCACCACAACTTCTCCAAACCCATCCCGAATAATCAGACCAATACCCGATTCAGAGGTTGAATTGGCACCATCAAAGTTCAGCTTCAGGGATCCCAAACTTGGTTTAACCCAAAGGTTCTGCAAAACTCGGGTAGATGTAGGCTGAGTGTTTGCACTTGAAATCTGCAAATTATGAATACTCTGGCTTAGGAAAAGTGAGTTTTCTTTGTTGATAATCATTTCAGGGCTCCAAGATTTCTGGTTAAAGATTAGCTCATTCCGTGCTAACCAAATGTTCCAGATAATTGAGAAGCAACGCCAAATCATGTTGTTTTCAGAATCCTCATTGTCATTCAAGTTGCTCCAATCAGCTATCCAGTCTGATAGTGTTTTATTGGGAAATTTAGAAATGTGGAGTCCCAGGCAAGAACCAAACCACACCATTGAGGCAACTAGACAATACAGGAAAATGTGATCTACTATTTGTATCTTCAGCCATACAAAATGGACAAAGCACTTCAATGTGTTTGCCAGATTTTCTCAGCCGAGTTCTAGTGGGCAGCATATTATGAATGGCACGCCAGATGAACAAATGAATTTTTGGAGGAATACCTTTTAGTTTCCAAAAGTCTCGCCAAGTAAAGTTATTAGAAATAATATGCGCCCGAGAAGAGGAGGCCCGAGAAGATGCCAACAAAAGGTATCCAAAAGCCGTAGTGTAACGGCCATGGGGGTGAGTTTCCAAATGAGTTTGTCTTGTAAGTCTGAGAATGAAATAGGAAGCTGGATTCCACATATTTCCTGAGCTGTGCGGGAACCAAAGAAGTTGTGAATTACCTCTCTTTGCCATGTCATAGTGTCTTGGTTAATGAGTTCCGCAACTGTAATCTTGCTCCGGGGAGCTTCCGAAGACAGGTATTGGGGTTTGAATGGTAACCATGGGTCATTTACAGCATCCACAACCCAACCATTGCCAATTACCCAATGGCAACCCTTTTCAAGGAAATCCTTGCATTTAAGAATGCCATTCCAGACATAGGAGTTACATGATCTTTGCTTTGCACACCAAAATGAAGAATCTCTCAGAAATTTAGCTTGAAGTACACGAGCTCACAGTAAGTTAGTTGAGTTGAGGAATCGCCATCCTAGTTTAACAATCAAAGCTTGATTTTTAAGCATAGCATCATGGATTCCCAAACCCCCGAGTTCTTTTGGTGAGAGAAATAGGTCCTAGGATTTAAGATGAAGACCGGGTTTATCCGAGTCAGTCCACCAAAAATCCCTACACACATTGTTCAATTTCGCATTATGTACTGTGGCATGGATTGGAGTGTGGATTTGATAAGAACTATTCTACCCATGTGTGATAAAGTTTTCTTCTTCCACCCTGAAAGTCTTGATTAAGTCTGTCCACCAAACATTGCCATTCTCGATTCTTTGAGTGGCCTAGGAACAGAGGCCCCCCTAGGTGTTTCTCTTTGGGGCTCACGAGTTTGACGCCAAAAAGGTGTGCAACTCTGATTCTAATTCAGTGCTGGGTATTGGAGCTGAAAAAAAAATGGATGACTTCTGAAAGTTGATTTCCTGACCTGACCAATTACAGAATAGATGTAATACCTGTAGGATGTGGGATATTTCTCTGTTGTTACATCTGCCAAAAATAATGAGGTCATCAGCAAATAATAGGTGCGAGAGACGAACACTAGAGTTTCCAAATTTGAAGCCATGAATCAGCCCTTGCTGCATCTTCTTTTCCAGTAAGCAAGAAAGAATCTCTGTGCACAATATGAATAAGTAGGGTGATAAGGGACACCACTATCTCAAACCTCTCGTGGGGGAGAATGGATCACCAGGATTTCCATTACACATAACCGAGAAATTTGCAGTAGATAAGAAATAGTAAATCAGATTGCAAAAATCATCAGAGAAACCAAAGTGATGGAGAACATTCAACAAGAAAGACCATTCCATCCTGTCATAGGCTTTAGAGAGGTCAAGTTTAAGCAAGAAGTATCCATTACGCCCCTTTAGTTTTCTCATTGAGTGAATTACTTCTTGAGAGATTATAGTATTGTCTGCAATATTTCTTCCCGGAGTGAAGACACTTTGGATTGGAGAAATCAGATTTGGGAGAATGCTCTTCAACCAATTGGTAATTATTTTTGTAATAATTTTATAGAGCACATTACTTAAACCAATAGGCCGAAGATCCTTTGGAGTTTCAATTGAATCTGTCTTGGAAATCAAACATAAATAAGTAGAATTTACTTAAGCAATTTCTTCCGGATTTCTGAATACTTGTTGAACCCAATGAGTAATTTCTGTTCCCATAAAGTGCCAGCCCTTTTGCAGAATAGCCGCATGGACCCCATCGGGGCCAGGAGCCTTCCAAGGTCCAATATTAAATAAAGCATTTTTAACTTCTTCTTCACAAGGGGGGTTCATCAATAAGAGATTTTCCTGCTCAGATAGAGAGTAGCTTGTGTCAGGAAGGTTCAGATCACTCAAATCAGGGTTGGATGACTGAAAAAGCTGTTTGAAGTGCTCATTTATAATTGAAGCAATTTCTTGTTCACTTTTGGTTCATGATCCATTAGTTCGGCGGATGCAAAGGAGTCCATTTCTCCTTTTCCTATTGGTTGTTGTAATGTGGAAGAATCTAGGGCACCTATCACCTTTGAGAGTCCAGTCTAAACGAGCTCTTTGTTTCCAGTAAGTTTCTTCACGAATCAGCCAAGTCTTAAGTTCTTGCCTAAGATTTTTCTCTTCCATATGAGCCTCTGAATTCAGCAAATTGGATTGGCAATGCAATAACCTCTGTTCTACATTTGCAATATTTTTCCTTATGTTTCCAGTTTACTGACCCCAACACCGAATTTTGTCAAAAGTCAATTTTAGTTTAGAATGGAGAGCACCATTTGAGTTATCCAACGAGGCGGATAAGGCTTCCAAAAAATTGGGTTCCTGGGTCCAAGCTTCTTCAGTTCTTTGGAGTTGGGCAAAATTTTGCCAACTACATTTGGTGTTTAACAAAATGGGGTGATGATCACTTCCACAGGAGGCCAGGTTTCGGACATGAGCATGGGGGAATTCATGAATCCAGTCTTGATTGGCCAGGAATCTGTCGAGTCTTTTGGAAATAAGATGGGATTCATCTCTTCTGTTAGTCCATGTAAATGGAGGGCCTGATGAGCCTAAGTCAATGAGATTGCACTCACTTATGGCTTGTGATAATAGATTTGTCTCACCCCTTGAAACTACACAACCTCCTTGTTTTCCATTGTTGGAAACAATGAGATTAAGATCTCCGCAAATACACCAAGGCCTGGTTGAATTTTCATGAAACGATTTTATTTCATCACTGAATTGAGTTCGAACACTGAGGGATGGATGCACATAGAAGCAGAGTAAATCCCATTCAAGGCATTGTGGTCTGATCTTTACAGTGCAGTAAATTGAGTGGTCTGTAATTGAGAAGATGGACAGCAGTACATTCTTTGAATAACCGAACCACAAACCTCCTAATCTAGCAGTTGTGGGGATCACTTCGACATGGTAGTTATGAAGGTGTCAAAGAATTGCTTTGGATTTGATCAAATTGTTCTTTGTTTCAGAGATAAAGAATATGTCTGGATGGTGCTTTGGAAGGAGCCTGTTGAGGTAGAGAACTATCAGGCGACTCCCTCCTCCCTGACAATTCCAACTGAGAATTTCCGTTGTGGAATTAGTTGGATGCCAATCAGATGCATTAGTTGATTTGTCCGGATTCGAATCTACATTAATACAGAGAGTGAATTTAGGAGACTTGTCTGATTTGGCGGATCTACTAACCAACGGATTGGTAGTAAATCCGCCATCCCTTAATGAAGGTTGAGATGTGATTGTGTTCGGAGCCTCTTGATTTTCCCCCGTATTAATTGCTTGAATAACTGCTAATGGTTGGCTTGTGTCGTCCGAAAAGGAAATTGGATGGGAGAGCTCCTTGATTTTCGGTGGTGAGTCAACACATCTTCTCAAGAAATTCACTTCAATATGTAACGGATTAGAGTGTGGGGCATCCGTTTGTGATTTTGAACGATGGGCAGTAATGGCAGGAGCTGGGGAGTTATGGGATGAGAACTTGCCTGGATTGGCGGGTTCACATCCGAAAGAATCGGCTTGACAATCGCCTTTTCGAATTTCCTTGCCTGAACCGGTTAACAGATCAGTGCCGCCGACCAACTCTGGCGAATTTTCTAGTAGTGAGCCTTGTGAAGAATGGGATGATTCGCCATTGTCTTGTTTCTCCGCAGGCTCATCATCTTTTCCTCTGGGAGAGTGTAATTTGCTGAAGGGCGTTGCTTTGATTTCCAGAGTAACGAAGTCAGACAGGAGATTTTGAATTTGTTGTCTCCCTTCTTCCAAATTGCAACGATCTAGAGCCTCCAAAAGCTTGTGCTTTGTTCGACAGGAGATATCTTCATGTCCCATTAAACCACAAAATTTGCAATGTCATGGTAGTCTTTCATATTGAACATTGATCGGGATTGTATCACCATTCAGAATTGTAAATGGGACCTCTTGTCGAATTGGTTCGTTAACATTGATCTGGACTCTAATTCTGGCCTATTTGCTCCATTTAGCAATGCTTTTGCTTTCAGGCTAGAAAGGTTTTCCCAAAGCAGAGGCAATCTTTTTGACAACATTGAGGTTTAGATATCCGATAGGTAAACCTGTAAGATGAACCCAAAAGCTTGCCTGATCAAGAGGACAGTTGATTGGTCTGAAGTTCGGCTCCCCTTTTTGAGTGATAATGAGATCTTTTTCAAATAGCCAAGGTCCTTTTTCCAAGATTTGATCTCTTTCAAAACTGCTTGGGAACTTGACTAAATACGAGTTGGGACCAAAGTCCATAATCTCGCCAGTTCCAAGTTTCCATGATTTATAGATCATTTCTTTGAGTCCTGCCACTGTAATTTTGATCAGTAAGAACTTTCAAGACTAATGTTCTGCTCCAATCTTCTCTGGGAAGCAGGTCGGTATCCGTTGCTTTGATCGGAATAACTGAGCGAGGCAACCTCAGACTCAACAAATGTCTAAGTAGTTTCTCATATCCCTGGTTAGGAGAATCAGAAGGGGTGGAGGAATTCTCCACGTTCATTAGAGGAGTACAATACAAAGGAAAGACTGACAGCCTTGCACTAGGGCAAGAGTGTAATTCTTTATCTTCTCATTAGGGCCCCACACAACCTCTTTTAAATATTAGCTCTTAGCACCCTGTACATCCAAAACCCTCCATCTCAATCTATTTTGTGTCTCTCTTTTGTTTCAAATGTTGGGAAACATCATCCATGCCATATCCCAACTATACGGAGTTGGCTACAGGAATCCTGTACGTTTTGCTAATCTGTTCTGAAGCCAGTCTGGTCATAAAGCACAAACAAGAATTCAAAACAAAAATACAA